CTGTTAGACCTATTAGACCTATTAGACCTGTTGGACCTGTTAGACCTATTAGACCTGTTGGACCTGTTAGACCTATTAGACCTGTTAGACCTATTAGACCTATTAGACCTGTCGGACCTGTTAGACCTGTTGGACCTGTTAGACCTGTTTGACCTGTTGGACCTGTTTGACCTGTTAGACCTATTAGACCTATTAGACCTATTAGACCTGTTAGACCTATTAGACCTGTTGGACCTGTTAGACCTGTTGGACCTGTTAGACCTGTTGGACCTGTTGGACCTGTTGGAACTGTTAGACCTATTAGACCTGTTGGACACGTTTGACCTATTAGACCTGTTGGACCTGTTGGACCTGTTAGACCTATTAGACCTATTGGACTTGTTGGACCTGTTAGACCTATTAGACCTGTTAGACCTGTTGGACCTGTCGGACCTGTTAGACCTGTCAGACCTGTTGGACCTGTTAGACCTGTCGGACCTGTTGGACCTGTCGGACCTGTTAGACCTGTCAGACCTGTTGGACCTGTTAGACCTGTCGGACCTGTTGGACCTGTCGGACCTGTTAGACCTGTCGGACCTGTTGGACCTGTTAGACCTGTCGGACCTGTTGGACCTGNATTTTACAGTCAGTATTCCTTCACCTGGCTTTTACTTCACCACTTGGATGTTATTCAGGTAACCCTGAACAGGAGAATGAGGAGCTGAGGGTCATCATTAGAAAGATCTGGAAGAGAATGAAGCCAAAGCTGCTGGATGAAGTCATACCACCTCATGAAGGTACTACTGATACTAAGGTTCTGTAGATCTCAGACCACAGGTAGATCTTAGACCACAGGTAGATCTCAGACCACAGGTAGATCTCAGACCACAGGTAGATCTCAGACCACAGGTAGATCTCAGACCACAGGTAGATCTTAGACCACAGGTAGATCTTAGACCATGGATAGATCTTAGACCACAGGTAGATCTCAGGTTTACTTTGATCTTCTGCCTGATCTGTTCTCTCTGTGCTGCAGAGGAGGAAGTGACTGTCGGGAAGTTTTATGCCACCTTCCTGATCCAGGACTACTTCAGGAAGTTCAGGAAGAGGAAAGAGAGGGGCGGTCTGACCGGAGAGTCTGACTCCACCAACCAGTCAGCAGTCCAGGTGTGTCCTTCATCTGGAGAAAAGTTTTCAGTGATTTTATATTCTTTAAAACAGTAAAGAAGCTGAAAATTATTTATTTATGTTTACTCTAAAATAACTGTAGAGTTCAGTTCTGACACTGAAACAGGGTATTTCTGACTAAAATGTAAAGATTTGTGTTGAAAACATTCTTGAAGGTGAAATGCTCCCTCCTTATGGTCAGTTTGTAGATTACAGTATCCTCTCCTCCAGCAGCCAGATCAGATCATTGGGCCTCATGCAAGAACATGTTCGTATTCTTCTCCTAAATTTCTCTTACTTTTGTTCGTACAAAGGG